TGTTGAACGCATATCTAATGATATAAATGCAAACTGTTCGCAAAGAGTGTTATTGTTAAAATAGGAGGCCACGAAAAATTAGTTGCTACCTTAAATGTATGTTAATTTTAGTTCTGAAGGTACACATGTCAATGTAGGCCTAGTTGTTTAGTCCCAGGACAGATTCACATCTGTTCTTTTGTCTGTCCATCTGTCTGTCATATGTCTGTCTATATGTGCACATGTACTCGCCATATTACCTCTAACTCTGCCACATGTGCCATATGTCTTTTCTTAGCCACATGAACAAGAAATGAAAGCTACAACAAAGTACTCAGTTTCAGTACTCGTATCTTTATTGTTGGCGCACATCTGCATATATTTCACTTGCTGAATCAGCTGTACTACTCTTACTCAGTATTTATGCTTAGTAATGATAGTGTTAAATGCTTTCAATTGTACTTCATATTTGACACAGGAAAGATGGAGAAATAACACAGTTAAAACTAGATCTTGAAGAGAACAGGATTAAACTGCAGCACAGTATGAGGTTAGTGAAATTGATTATGAAAATGATGAAAATGAAAGATGTTTCATCAAAGCATCATTCTTGTCCTATTTTTTAGTCCATAAATAATAAAACGTCTAATTACTATTATATTTTCCCTTGAACTAACTTTTACATCAGTTTCTGTCACCCCAATATTGTTCTGAACTCCAATACAGCATTGCAGCAACAATGCCAGGAACAAGAATTACTTGAATGATGCAATCGCACTAACTTGTAATAATATCTACCGGGTACTGAAAGGTTATTTTGAATAATATTTCTGACTTTCTCGGTTAGCACTCGTATCTTAAAATTTGCTTATTTAGCATAAATTAGCATATGATTTGTTGGTGTTTTTTGTACTAATAATTAGTATTGTAATAAAAATGTTATCTACCGGTATATATCATAATCATAGAGCTTGTTGATACTTTGGTGTCATAGGTTGTATAATCCACTCACCTTAAAGCGGACAGGTCGCCTGCAGGAATTGAGACCCAAGTGCTAATAACAATACGATAAAAATGTAAAGCATCAGAGGTAGACGTTTGTTTGTAAAGGTGCTATGGCCATCTGCCATATGTGCAGGTGGCAACTCTCTCACTTTAGGTAATGGATATTACTAGATCTCATGGTCTAGTCACTTGTATTCATCAGCTCTATAAACAAGTGATATAACCTCATAGTATTACAACCCGATATCTTGCTACATGTATGTCATAACCCGTAATTCTATTCTTTAGACGTGCCGTGGAAGTCTCTGGTTTGAGAAGTCAAGTTCAACAGTTTAGAGACCAAGCAATGGATGCTGAGAAAATTGCAAGAGTAAGCTGTTTGTAATCTGTAGTAGAATGTAACAACCTCTTTAAGAACTAGTCAATGTTGGTGACTATTGATTATCATATTAACAATTGTATCACATGATACCTTTAATGATCCTATCACATGACTCCAATGATTCTATCACATGACTCCAATGATCATATCACATGCAGCAATGATTCTATCACATGATTCCATGATCTTATCATATGGTACAATGATCCTATCACATGATTCCATGATCTTGTCATATGGTACAATGATCCTATCACATGATTCCATGATCTTATCATATTTT